ACTATGGTAGAGAGGGGACTTAGGGAGAAGGGTAGAACCCTTGGGCAGTGGGGCTAGGTGGGAAGAAACTGGATCATAGAGACCATTCCCTTGATGGGAATATTTAGACCCTGGCTCACTCTCTCTCTCTGCCTCCTGAAAGCCATGAGATGAGCACTATACTCTGTCATATGATCTCCCTGTATTGTGCTGGTTCACCCCCAAACCAAAGCAGAATAATTCAACAACAAAGGACTGAAAACTCTGAAAACTTGAGACAAGTAAACCTTTCTACCTTGTAAGTTATTTATCTCAAGTATTTTGTCACAGCGTCTGAAAACTGAATAAAGCGGGCAGTCAGATGCCACTCATTTCCTCCCTTGGGATAACTAGTTCTAAATACTTGGGTTTCCTAAAGAACCTCGTCTCTGCCAGATAGTCACTTCATTTTCCTATACTTTTCTGGATTTTATCAGAACCGCTTTTTAATACAGCTTCTCTACCAGTGATAACTTTATGAACTTGGAAAACATTAAAGTCTTTTATTTTGTTTTGCTACCAGTCCTCAGGCTTGAACTTAGGGCCTGGGTACTGCCTTGAGTTTTTTACTCAAGGCTAGCACTCTACTACTTGAGCTACATTTCATTCAACACTCATTCAACAAATGAAGAATAGAAAGACTAATGTCCTTCCCCAAAGATGTCCATATCTTAGTCCTTGGTACCTGTGAACATGTTACCTTACATGGCTAGAGAGAGTTTGCATGTGCAATAAAGTTAAGAATTTTGACATTGGCAAGTCCTCTCTGCCCAGTCTAAACACATGGATCTTAAGAAATGAAAGATAATGAAAAAATGATTCAAGCCATTATCATTTCAAAGAAGTCAGGGGCCAAAAATAATCCCATGACTTCATTTTACATACTGCCAGAAAACATAGGACTACCTTGTTTGACCACAAGGAAACAAATTCTCTCAACAGATCAAACAAGACAGAAAATATTCTCTAGTACCATCATAAGAAGAAATGCAATTCCTAACATTTTGGTTTTAGCTTAGCTAGACCCATGTCAGATGTGTGACCTATAGAACTATAAGCTTATATGTATGTTTGTGTGTGTTATGTTGATTTACAAAATGTATCATAATTTGTTAAGATAGAAAATAATTGGAACAAAGAGAAAATATCTATTGAGTGCAAGGTGCTAGGCTGAAATGGGGTAGGGGGAAGTGTATGGGTAAGGATGTGGCCTTCATAGAGGTTATAGCCTGGTTGAAAAAACAAATGTTAACAAAATAGTTAGGACTTTAATAATGGTATTGTTAGAGATCTTTAAATATAGAGTAGTGAATTGAACCTAGGGAGAGGATACAGGAATTAATTACATTTCACAGAGACTTCCAAGATGACAGCTGGGAGCACTAAGTATTATTCCCTAAGCTTTTTTTTTTTTTATCACTGACAGAGTAGTTAATCCTCCTACCTTCTGATATTTTCCTTCTCAGGTCCCTCCTCCCAGTTGGAAGAAACCTCTCTGTGGAATTTTATTTATCAAGTTGAAAACACTAAGATCTCAGATTTATCTTACAGAATTCCTGTATTCATTCTCCCAATTCCTTCTGCATTGGCCTTGGACTGTGGATCTGATTACTACCTCCTAGGTAGTTAGGATTACAGGCATGAACCACCATGCCCAGCTTGATTTTGCTTCTTGAGTACTCTTTTATGCTTTTGCTGATAATACAAGATACCCCAGTTTACCTGTTTTTTACCTGTCCCACTCATAGATTCAGCTTTTTTCTCAAGGAACACTGTTTTCTTTTGTTGAAGAATGGCTGGAAATCAGGACCTTGGCAATGTGTGTACTCATTATGTGTGGGATTTCACTACATCTAGGACATCTCAGTGGTTAGAGTTGGGACATGCATGTGTTTATACTAACCTACATGCACACACTTCTAAATAATTTCTAGAAATATTTCCATAATTCTATAATTATCCATATAGTTCACAGTAGCCCTTTAGAGAGATGACAATTTGAGCTATTCCCCCAAGAAAATTAGTTTCATGAGTTTGTATCTATTTCCAGAGAGCCCTAAAATTGCATTTCCAGTAGCTCCCTAGTTCATACAGACTGAAATATCATCTCCCAAATTTCTCAAGCTTTCTTTCAAAGACTGCTCTTTAGTATGTTTTAAAAACTTTACTGATATAGGAGTAACTGATATTCAATGGCCTATACATGTCTGAAGTGTACAATTAAATATTTGCCATATGTCTACACTATGTGTACTTCTGAGTGCACATATACATACATACATACATACATACATAGACTCACAAATACTCATGAAACTATCTCCTCCAAAGTTTTCTCATGAACCTTTTTGTAATCTTACATTGCCATATAGCTATTGACTTGTCTTGTGCCACTACAGATTAATTGGTATTTTCTAGAGCTTTATATGTAGTTGGTGGACTTTTGTTCTCTCTGCTTTCACACAATGTATTTTGAAATTCAGCCATGCTGTGCAGAAATTCATAATTGAATTTTTTGTGACATGACTACTGTTTTATAGAATATATTTAATTTGTTTGTACATTCTACTGTTGATAGACATGTACATGTTTTATAATATATGGCTATTTTACATTAAGCTACCATATGTATTATGTACAATTTTCTATTGTTATAACAGAGTACCAGAATATAGAGGTGTACTTAGCATAGAGTGTTGGAGAGTGGAATATGGTACAATATCTGCTTGGCATTTTACTGAATCATAATATGCAGAAGCCACCATATGGTGAGAAAGAGTAACCATGCTAGAGAGAGCTTGTTTTGATAATAAGCCATATTTTATAATAAAGCAATATCCCATTTATCCAAAAATTCAAATGAATTACTCTATTTACAGACATTCTGAAAATTACCTCCTATATGACCTAACTCCACAAACTGATTTCTTTTGTTTGTTTAGCTTTGTTTTTCTGGTCCTGGGACTTGAACTCAGGGCCTGAGCACTATCCCTGATCTTTTTTTTTTTTTTTGCTCAAGGTTATTGCTCTACCTATTAAGTCACACCTCCATTTCCAGCTGTTTTTGGTAGCTAATTGGAGATATGAATTTCACAGACTTTCTCACCCAGTCTGGCTTGGAATCATAATCCTCAGATCTCAGCTTCCTGAGTAGTTTAGGATTACAGGCATGGCCTACCAGTGCCAGATGGAATATTGTCAGCAATTGATTTGGGGGATTGTTTTTTCCAACATACAGACCTAACCCACAGCAGATTTGAATGGCTATGTCTTTTTGCTGATATGTTTGACTAGTCTTAACTTACATTCCCACTAGTAGTGTCAGAGAGTTATAGATGTTCTATATCTTTACCAATACTTGTTTTGGCCATCTCTATGACCTAAATTATATTTATAATAAGAAAAATGATACAGCAACATTGGTAGAGATGGAAAAGTTTGACAGTGAGACTATGTGGGCAAGATGCTGGGGTTAATTATTAAGCAAAGTGTAATCATTATAAATGTATTTGTACATAAAAACAGGATCTAAAATTATGTGAGGCAAACATTGGAGAGAGAAATAGTTTATAAGAGTTGAAGACTTCAATATTCTATTTAAATATGGGACTATATCAGACAGAAGATATGTAGGAAGAGGACTTGCATAATACAATAAACCAAATATATCCAACAGACATGGAATGAGAAGGTCACTGCACTCAATAAAAATCCCAAAATGCACATGAAACATTCTTCAGGACAGATTATTAAAATACTGATTTTTTTTTGTCAGTTGTGGGGCTTTAACTCTGGGCCTTGGTGCTGTCCCTCAGTTATTCAGCTCAAGGCTAGTGCTCTACCACTTCCAGGTTTCAGGGGGTTCATTGGAGATAAGAGTCTCACAGATATTCTTGCCTGGGCTGGCTTTGAACCATAATCCTCAGATCTCAGCTTCTTAAGTAGTTAGGATTACAGGAATGAGCCACCAGCACAGGGTTACTGACTCTTAATAAGAACAATTACAGAAGTCTCAATCAATTTTATTTTATTTTATTTATTTATTTTTTGGTCGGTTGTGGCACTTGAACTCTGGACTTGGGCACTGTCTCTCAACTCTTCAGCTCAAGGCGAGCACTCTACCGTTTGAGCCACAGCGCCACTTTCGGTTTTCTAGTGGTTTATTGAAGAGTCTCACGGACTTTCCTGCCCAGGCTGGCTTTGAACTCAGATCTCAGCCTCCTGAGTAGCTAGGATTACAGGTGTGAGCCACTGACGCCTGGCTTCAATAAATTTTAAAACCACTTGAGCCATGGTCCCAGCCCAAGGTCATTGTTAGGTAGAGCATTTCAGTTCAGGAAGGTGAAAAGTTCTGGCAATGATGACAGCGACATTTTTATAATTATGTGTGATTAACTACTAAACTGTACACTTAAAATAGATAAAATAGTACTTTTAATTCATGTTTATTTTATTCAATTAAAAAATTTAAAACTCATGTTATTACTTTTTGGCTACCTACTTAAAATAAAAGCAGAGTGATGAAGTGATGAGTTCAAGGCTTATCATTTATCATTAAGAAGGAATTGGTTTGTGGTGATGCTATGCTTCCTGACGCATGGTAAACTTTAAAATGAAAGTGTCTGAAGCCAGGCACAAATGTGCTTACTTGTAATTCCAGCTCTCAGGATGTTGAGGCAGACAGATCAAAAGTTTGAGGCCAACCTTTACTACATAGTGAGTTTCAGGCCAGCCCAAGATACAGAGAAATCCTATCTCTAAGAACAAAGAAATAAACAAAAGCCTGTAGCTCAGTTTAAATGATCATTCAAATCTGTGCTAGTGTATGATTTTTTCCTCATACTTTCTGACAATAATCGTCTTTGAAGGATTGTCTCAATCAGTTTCCTCACATTTGCTGCAATGGAGCACATGAAGGATATGGAAACAATTCTCTCTAAAGATCAATTAATTACTTGGTCATCGTATTTCTCTTGCATCAGAATGTGAACTCTATTTTGTTCAATGTTGCCTACCAATGCCAAAAGCAATGCATAGCAAATATTCAATTAGTAATCATTTTAATGAAATCCTTTTGTGTTTAGTTTTTTACCTAGCTGTTTGGATGTTAGGGAAAAGGAACTTGTAACACCTCAAATCAAGAGACACCCGTGTCTGCAACAGGAAATGGACAGAAGAGAGGAGGAGGAGGAAGCTCTATCTACACCCCATTCCTATAGAGGGTCACTAGGTCTCCAGCCTTATTGTCCTGCTGATACATAGCTTTGCCTGAGTCTAGAGCTGGGCCTGTTGCCACTGAAGAGGAGGCAGTGCTAGAGAGCATTTATCAAATTGGGACTTAATGGCCTTCACAGAGTTTGCAAATGACTGTTCACAACTTTTTGTTCAGATCTCAAATTTTGGTACAAACCACATTAGGCAAAGTCAAATTGCAATTCTTACCCAGAATAGCATTCTCAGTGATCTATTCACCTTGCCCACTCTAGGTCCTGTTTCAGCCTAAGTAAAGATTTTTCTGATTTCAGAAGTATTGGAAGGACTTTCTCCATCTTCTTTTCCCCTTTCTCTAATTCCTCAGGTGTAGGTGATTAATGCTGTTGGCCACTGGAGTATTGGGTCACTGTGGAAGAACTACTATTTCTGCTCTCTCTTCAGTTTGCTTTCTCTCGCATCTCATCGAGGTCACAGGATACGCCTGTCCTGGCTCCATGGGTTAAGCTCAAGGAACCAGGAATTTCCCTTGCCTGGGAAGGCCCACAGTTGTCCTGACTGGCCAGTGGATAGGAGCAACTCAAGATAATTTCACCTTGGGTCCAAACAAGAGTTTCAAGCCAGCCATACCAATATGTTGATTTGTAGCTTGTCTTCATCAGTTTTTCAGCAAACTAAGAAAGCTTTTTACAGGAAAAGGGTATGTTCAGTTAGGATTCCCAAAGCCTAAACACAATAATTGGTTTAATTTTCCTTAACTATAGAAGATGTCTTTAAATGAACAAATAAAAATTAGTCAGTATTTTCCCATAGTACTCTCTAGAGCACTGGAGGCTCTGATGAGACTAAAATTAAGAATGACAGGCTTTGTTCTGTGAAAGTGGGGCGATATGCTTACCAGTGTTGGAGCCTATTTGCTGACATCTTCATTTTTACCTGAGGCTAAACTATTTAAGAAATAAGATTGGTAAATAGTAATAAAGATATAACATGTTCAGACAAGTGCAGGCTTTCCAATCCAGGAACGGGCAATGTCAGTCTCCCCTTCCCCTATCAATCCATTTTCTGTTGCTACAATGGAATACATGAGATTGGGAAATTTATAAGGAAGTTGGAGAGTATAGTCCTACTTATCTTCTGCTGAGGGCCTCTGTTGGTTCATGGAAGAAAGTGGAAGGACTAGTGGGTGCATCAGAAAGAAAGGCAACCTATTTCATAATAAAACACTCTTAAAGAGCAAATCCACTCCTGTGAGAACTGATACAGTACTTTCAGCTTTATTATGCTGATATGAATCCCTCTTCGCTACTGATTTTTCACCATTTACAGTCCTTGCTCTCACCTAACCACCACATTGTCAGCCAAATTTCAATGAAATTTCAACATGAATTTTGGTAGGGCAACACCATATCCCAACTTTAGCAACCCCCTCTGGAGAGAGCTACTATTACAAGTATGTGAAACCTGGAAGAGGCACAGCTAGGCATCTTCAACTTCTCCAAAATTAATTAAGTGAGGAAGTGTGACACTAAAAGATGGTCCCATAAAAACTTCCCCATAGGGCAAGGTGTCAGGAGTAAGGAATAAGCACTTCAATAACAGAAGTAGAGGTATACGAACTCTCCTCACAAAGCATGTGCAACTTGGGCTAAGTGCCAGTGGGAAATGTATGCGCTCTATGACACTCTGCCTTTTCTGTTGAGGTATAACTTAGGTATGGGAGAGAAAAACATGATTACAGGTACAAATTTTTATATGTACACTAAAATCATACAGACATATTCAAGAGCATTTTCAGGACAACTTTTAAAGGACTTGAGCTACAATTTCTACAGTTTTAAGGAACATCTTAGATATCCTTCCCAGACCCAATAGCCAAGCCCAAGATGTATACTTTTGTTAGCCTTAGACTTGCACAAAAGATTTTGCACTTTTTCTTGGCTTTTTTTGGTGTTCTGCTCCTTGAGAAATACCCTATTTCTGGCTTTTTGATGGTTTATTGGACATAGAGTCTCATAGACTTTTCTGCACAGCCTGTATTTGAACCGTTATCCTCAGATCTAAATCTCCCAAGAAGCTAGGGTAAAGCCACCAGCACCCAGTTCAGAGATGTATTTTTTAAAGGAAAATTTCCATTTTACACCACCAATCCTTAGTATTATCATAAAATTTTCTTTCCATACCAGGATTTAATTTACAAATATGGTCTTTAAATTGTATCCACTTTATAAATTCTAAAAATATCTCTGAATTTTAAACAACTGAAAAATGAATTGACTAAATTTAAGCAATTATGTTCGTTGGGAAATGTTATTCTTCTGGAAAAGGTGCCCTGATATCTTGATGTCCTCTTTAAAATTTTTTATTGTTATTATAGAGGTGATGTACAGAGGGGTTACAGTTATATAAGTCAGGTAATGAGTACATTTCTTTTTGGACAATGTCACCCCTTCCATCAGTATTGATGTCTTCTTAAAGGAAATTGGATGTTTTCTTTTCATCAAGGTGACAATATTAGAATTAGAATTATCCGCTCATGATATGATTTCTTAGGTTTAGTCAGCCAAAACCAGTGAGTCAAAGGATGATAAATTAATTTTACAAGGGAAACTACTTCAGGAAGTCTTTCTTTTTCTTTTCTTAGAATAGCTCCAGTGTTTTAATGAAAATGTGTTCACTTTTTTTTGTCGGTTTACTTAGAGTGTTCACTTGCTAATACAGCAAAATGAACAAGACAACATTCTGGATTCTCCTCTATACTGTTAATTGAAGCCCAGTGGTATTCCTGGTCATAATCATTACATAATATTCTATGCCCTTGTGTTCTCATCAGTCCCTACCATTGCTTAAGTTAACTCCAGAATACTTCTAAATGCTATACTATACTGTGTTAGCAATCTTAATATAGTATTCTTGTCCCCAAACTGGTAAGAAAGTAACTTGGTAAGAAAGTAACTTGGTAAGAAAGACTAGAAGCTACATTACTTGTTCATGATGTGGTAGGACTCTGGGTTCTCAGGCCAGAAGCCACAGTGTGCTAGGCATGTCTGTGTCTTTGGCACAGTGTACAAGCTCCACCAAGTGGATGTTGACCCCACAATCAAGTGAATTCAGGAGTAACAATGGGACTCAGATTAGTTTGCTAACTACTTTTCATTCAGCTTCCTCATATAAAAGAACACTTAGAAATCATTTGGTTTAAGGGTTTATTCTGCAGAGGAGGAACTTGAGGCCCAGAGAGGTAAAACCCATCTTCCTAGGGTCACACAGCTAGTAGACAGCAGAACTGAAAGTCCACTCCCTATTCCGAGCTGTAACTGTGGTGTTCTTTCCACTGTTTTTGGATATACTCCTCCTGTTGAACCAACCTCCACTGACCCCAAAAAACAAAATGCCCCCCAAACAAGTCTCCTTTTCCTAACACGTCCTCAGTACAGGTCCTAAACTTAGGTCATTATCTAGAAAAATTCCCAAAGCAACTGATGGTGCAGACACTATTTAACAAGTGAAGGAGAAGCTGCCCAGATTAGTACTGCCTAAAAGAACCCAACATGAATGTGGCAACCCACAGAAAGACTTCTTAGTTTTATTATCCAGTGTGATGGGACTATACTCTGCCTTTTCCAGGCATATGAATAAAGATAAAATTGTTTACCCCAAAATTGATGAGTAATAATATTCTCCCAAGTTGTGCCAATCAATCGACTTGCTAATCAAAAGACATTAATTTCAAAAGTCTATATTAAAAATGTATATATTTTGAGGGTGCAATTAGTAGTACAATGCTTGTCTAGCATGTACTCTCAGTTTGTTCCCCACACTGAATTAAAAAAAATAAAAGTAGCATTGTGCCTCTAGCACTTGAGAGGCTGAAGTAGTAGGAGGCCGGAGAGCTTATGACCAGCCTGAGCTAGATACATCACAAAAGCCAATCTGACAAACAATAAAAGAGAGACAGTGTGAAGGACACAGAATAATGCTTGTAAGAATAAATACTGGATAAAAGAGGCAGAATATAAAATAGCAAAGGGCCAAAAAATTAGAATTCACTTGTTTTCTTGGTCTTGGATTTTATATTGTGATGATGGGTAGTGGTTTCATGGGCCTCTTTTTTTACATTATTAAAACTAAATTGGTAAAAAGAAGTCCACATATGGACCAATGGTGCTAGTAAGTTGTTAATCAAAGGTTATAGAGAATCAATTCCTGAGCTCCATGGATAAAAAATAAAAAGGAAAAGCAATTATGGCATAATTATGATTTCATTATAATTTCTCTCAAACTAGAAAATAAGCATTGTATGGAATTCTAAATATTTTGGGTTTTGATTTTTTTGTCTGTTGAGATAATCACATTACGCTATTAGGTAGAAAGTTTCTTCAATATGTTTAATATGTAAGCTAAACTATAGGGGTAGATAAATGAGTGTTCATCTTAATCTGGTAGAAACTGTAGTACCTGGTCTTACCATTCTAAAATATGTTATCTTGGGCTTGCTGTGGATGGTTATTAGACTCTTAGGCTAAAATTTGCTTTAATTTCAGATATGAAATAAAAAAATAGGCCTTTTTAATTCCTTCAATATCTTTAGCTAGATTGTGTGTGTGTGTGTGTGTGTGTGTGTGTGTGTGTGTGAGAGAGAGAGAGAGAGAGAGAGAGAGAGAGAGAGATTTTCCAAACTAGGGTTTGAGTGACAAGCAAAACTAACAAGGATTAAAAGAACAAACTGATCAAAAAACCTGGAGGTGAGTTTTCAAAATCAACAAAATTGCTTGTTAAAGCCATGTACTTGAGAGTTTCCTGTCAGCCACTTAATATACTGAGGACCTACAAATCTAATCTTAGAGATTGTGGCTTTGTTAAAACATCAATGTATATACTGAAAATCTGCTACAACATTAACATTTGGGGAATTTGGGTGAAGGAAATGCAAGAACTTTTTGTATATTTCCGCAACTTTTCTTTAAGCATGAAATTATTTCAAATTAACAGGTTTATAGGTAAAATGGGACAGAAATTATTATAAGCAATTTAATATCAAATTGACCAACAGTTAAATTGCTCATCCAGAGACTTTTATATCAGTAACAAAGAATTACAGTTTTTCATCACCACCACCATCATCATTATTGTCATCATGATGATGATGATGATGATGATGATAATGATGATGTAGTTGTGGAAAAGGATTACAATTCCATGTCAGGTTCAAAGTATAATGCTTCTTAGTCAGTGTTACCACTTCCTTCATTCTCTCCCATATTTCCTTCCTATCTTTACCCTCAAGTTACAAAGAATTATTTTTATAAAAAACAAGAATAACAGCTTTATTGTGTGCTGGTTCTGGGGCTTGAACTCAGGGACTAAGCACTTAGCTTTTTTGCTCACAGTTAGAAATACTATAAATGTTTCACAGACTTTTCTGCCTGGGCAGGCTTTGAGCCAGGATCCTCAGATCTTGGCCTAAGTAGCTAGGATTACAGACATAAACCACTCAGCCACTGACACTTGGCAAGAATAACAGCTTTTATTATACTTGATCTTAGCCAAAAAGCTAAGAAAAAGAATTAAGTTTAAATTATAACTCTATAGTAGCAAAGACAGTTAATTGTAAACCACAATACAGAGCACATTGTTCTCCTTGAACAACTTAGTAATTATCAGTTGTGAAAAGCCATGGGGATGAACTTAGGGACAGTGAACTTTTTCTGTGGGCAAGGATTAGATTATTTTTGTGCAATCAAATGCCCTTAAAGTCAAGCCACCTCCATCTTGCAGAAACAGAAACTTCTGAATATGAGAAATACAATTGTACAGGGTTGATGAGGAATCATTCAAAGAAATAGTTTGCAAGGAATGCTGTTGAATCCTTCAAAATAAGGAAGTACTGCTTGTGGTAATTGGAAAACAAATTCCAAAGCCAAGGGCAGCAGGAGGGGGGATTGGGGTCAATACTAGGAAAATACTAACTCTAATATAAAATAGTTTTTCTCACCTCAGTTCAAATACTAGTTGAAAGGGTCTTTTTGTTGTTGTTGGTGATGGTTGATTTTTGTATGTTTTTTAAAGTATATTATACGGCTAGTGAAAATCTTCTCCCATAGCCATACAACAGACAAGAGCTTCATTCCTAAAATATACTTAGAAATCAAAAAATTAAATCTCCCAAAACAATTCCTCAAATAAACAACTTCCCTGTTAATAAGTGGGCTAAAGACGTCTCTGAAGAGGAAATAAGAATGGCCAATAGACACATGAAGAAATGCTCAACTTCTCTGGCCATAAAAGAAATGAAAATCAAAACAACACTGAGATTCCACCTCACCCTAGTAAGAATGGCTATAGTCAAGAATTCTAATAACAACAGATGCTGGAGGGGATATGGCCAAAAGGAAACACTACTACACTGTTGGTGGGATTGTACACTTGTTCAACCATTTTGGAAAGAAGTATTGAGGTTCCTCAAAGGAATACAGACAAAGAGCTCTCTTATGATCCAGCAATCCCACTTCTGGGCATTTTCCCAAATAACCACAAACAAGGCCACACTAAAGCTACCAGCACAACTATGTTTATTGCAGCATTATTCACCATAGCTAAGATATGGAACCACCCAGATGCCCCTCAGAAGATGAATGAATCAAGAAAATGTGATATATGTATGTATAAAATAAAATTATATATATATGGAATTTTATGCTTCCATCAGAAAGAATGACACTGCCCCATTTGTAAGGAAATGGAGAGACTTGGAAAAATCATATTAAGTGATGGTTTCCCTTATTTTCAATAATTAGCATAGGTGTAGGATAATCTTAGCAGATGAGGAGAATAGCTATGGATATATGACCATATAATATGATGCTAAGCAAAATGAACTCCAAGACATGGACATAAGAGATTTTTCTTGTTGTTGTTGTTTTTTATGTACTATGTGATTTTTTTCTTTCCTTAATATGTTCTTCCACCAATGGCATATCTCCTGTTGTCACCAATGGTATATCTCCTGTATTTGATTTTGGTACCCTGGTGTTGTATATACATTTATTTGAATTAGGGAAGGGAAGGGGAAAAACAGAATTGTGAGACAAAGGACAAGGGGAGAGCCAATGCAACAACGGCATATACAAGACAATATGTTGGAAATGATCTGTACAACTTGGGGGTGGGTGGGGGGAGGGAAAGCAGGAGAAAAATGAAGGAAGGGGTAACAAGTTTGACAAGAAATGTACTTATTATCTTACTTATGTAACTATAACACCTCTTGACAATAAAAAAGCATATTATGGTAAATTATTTATCCCCTCTTAATACCAGAATTGAAATGTTAGAATGAAATGAAATATCTACTTTCTTTATTCAAATAAGGAGGCACTAAGAGCATTATAATTGTATTTACGTAGTTCTATGTAAAAGTAGTACTACATCAATATATATATGATATTTGATTCAAAAAGAAAAGAAAGAAACTTTCAATTAATTTTCAGGAAAGAAATAGCAATTCTCTTTCTCTGAATAATTCTAAGAGGAAGGAAATGTAGTTTTTGTTCTCAATTCTGTTGAAGTTATGAATCATCACACCTTTGCTAAAAATTTCATGCAACAAGGGCTTAGAGATGTTTATATGAGCCAAGCCCACTGCTGAAATTTGATATTTGGTTTGTTTTAAATCTATGCAACCCTGAAAAATATTCAAATTTCAGATTCAGATTTCATAACCTCTCTTCCTCTCCCTCTCCTATCCCTTCATTCCCTCCCTCTCCCTTCCTCTTCCTCTCCCTTTCCTCCTCCTTTCTTTCCTCCTTCTCCCCCTCCTCTTCCTTCTTCCTCTCACTCTCTTCTTCTCCTCTTCTCCTTCTTCTCTCCCTCTCCCCTCTTCTCTCCTCTTTTCCTTCTTCTCTCCCTCTCCCCTCTTCTCTCTCCTCTCTCTTCTGCCAACCCTCCACTCCTCTTCCCCTTCCCTTCTACTTTGTCTCCTCCTCCCCCATCTCCTGCTCCTCTTCATTCTCCCTCTTCCTCCTTTTTTTTTTAGTAATTGAAAAGTTATAAAAAATAAAAAGAAGGAACATATAGGGGACCAGGTAGGTTTTCCTAAAGAAAAAGGCAATATATAAATTATATAAATGTGTAAAGCAATGTATGCTATTTTTGATTTCCCTATAGACACTGTTAAGAAAATAAATCTAAGTTATAAGAAAATATGTAACGAGAAGGAGGAGTAATTCCAAATTTAACCTGTGAATTACACATCACCTATCAAAATTGCCAGAAGAAAGAAATCTGATAAAAATCTTCATACAAAGAAAGTCTCAGATTCACATGACTTCTTGGTAAATTCTAACCAGTCACAGCTTTCAAAAGTGACAACTTATTTTATGAGACCAGTGTTATGTTGATATCAAAAGTAGACAAAGACATCACAAGAAAATGAAAATATAATCCAATATTCATTATGGGTATTGGCATAAAACCCTTTTTTATTAACATAAAAAGTATTAATCTAAGTGTGATTTTCCAAAAAATATGAAGTTGTTTTGACATTGAACATAATGAACAATAAAACTCCAAGGTCAGTTCAAGAGATGGAGAAGAGCCAGGTGCCGGTGGCTCACGCCTATAATCCTAGCTACTCAGGAGGCTGAGATCTGAGGATCACGGTTCAAAGCCAGCTAGGCAGGAAATTCGGTGAGACTCTCATCTCCAATACAAATCACTAGAAAACCGGAAGTGGTGCTGTGGCTCAAGCGGTAGTGTGCTCTCCTTGAGCTGAAGAGCTCAGGGACAGCTCCCAAACCTAAGTTCAAGCCCCACGACTGACCAAAAAAAAAAAAAAGAGAGAGAGATGGAAAAGAGGCATTTTGCAAAAATCTAACCATCTTTTCTAATAATAACATTCAACAAAGAATTAGAAAGGAAATTCCTCAAATACTCTTAAAAAGAGTATCTAAAAAGAATCCACATTCTCCTGTCCAGTGCAGGACTGGTTATTTTCACCTCGAGATCAAGACAAGATGAGATGCTGACTCTTTCCATTTCTCTTCAGCATTGAGCTAGGGACTACACCAGGGCAACTAAACAAAAAGGGAAGTAAAAGCCACTACATGGAAAAGAGAGAAGTAAAACTACACTATTTATAGGTGAAAGACTCATATATATGAGTTTAAAGGAATATACAAGTTTATGAAAAATCAATAAAATATTAAAATGCAAAAAATATGCAAAAGTGAATTGGTGATATCCATTAGCAATGAGCAACATGAAAAAACCCAAAAAGGACATTCAATTTATAATAATATCAAAAGAATAATATCTTGTTTTATTAAATAAAATGTAACAAAAGAAATGTGAGACTTTTATGTAGAAAAGTACAACATAAAATATCACTAAAAGAATTAGAGAAGAAGCTGGGCACTGGTGGTTCACACCTTAATCGTAGCTACTCAGGAGGCTGAGTTCTGAGGATCAAGGTTTGAACCCAGCCTAGGCAGGAAAGTCTGTGAGAATCTTATCTGCAATTAATCATTAGAAAATCAGAAGTGGCATGCTGTGGCTTAAGGTGGTAGAGTGCTAGCCTTGAGAATAAAAGCTCAGGGACAGTGCCTAGGCCAGGCTCTGAGTTCAAGGCCCATGACTAAGAAAAAAAAAAGAATTAGAGAAAAAAATTAGTGGCAAGACAAATCATTTTCATGTATTGGAATATTTAATAATTTTTAGATGGTTACATATGCCTAATTGACTTACAGATTCAAAATAACGCCCAACAAAATCTCAGCTGAAAACTAGGCACACTGGGGTATGGTGAGGTGTTCCTGTAATCTCAGCTATGCAGGAAGCATAGGTAAGAGGATTGCCATCTGAAGTTGGTACCCCTAAGGAGGGAGAGACCTTACTTAAAAATAACTAAAGAAAAAAGAGTTGGAGCATGGCTCAAGTGGTAAGCTGCCTGTGTAGCAAGTACAAGTGTGAGGCTGTACATTAACACCCATAAATAAATGAACAAAAATCCTAGTTTGGATTTTGCAGAAACTGAAAAGCTGAGCTAAAATTCATATGGCAATGCTAGAGAGTTAGCATAACCAGACAGTCTTGAAAAATAACAAGAAAACTGGAAGACTTATACTATCTAGTTTCACATCAAAAAGATACATTTCAGCAGGACAGTGTAGTCCTAGTCTATGCTTAGACATATAGATAAATGGAGTAGCATTGCAAACTCACTAATATTTATGGCCAATTGATTTTTGACATTTTAAAGGGGAAGAAAAATCTGCTCAACAAATGTTGAAACTACTGTATATCAACAGGCAGAAGAATGAAACTGGACTCCTTCCTTATACAAAATGAATTGGCTATAGTAATAAATCTTAATTTAAGAGCTAAAACTACATACTCTTAGAAGAAAAAGAGGAGTAAATATTTCTATCTTTAAGTTAGGTAAAACTCCTCTGAAATATTCCACCAAAGCACAAGTAACCAAAACTGAAAATGTTTGGTCTGCAAAAGACACCACTCACGAAGTGAAAAGACAACCCACCAAATGGGAGACATATATGCAAATCAAAGACCTTGAAAGGGACTTGTATCTAGAACTAACAGAAAATTTCTATAACAACATTAAAGGGAAAAATAACCCAAATTTAAAAAAGAAGATCTGAACATACATTTATTCAACATAAACATACTTAAAACAATTAGTTATTAAGTGAAATGAACATCAGAACCACCAGAAGATACTACATCCAAACCATTAGGAGGGCTATAAAGAAGACAGTCATAACAAGCATTGGGAAGCAAGTAGAAATATTTGAAGCTCTTTAGCTTAATTTAGTAGTATCAGCCACTAGGAAAATAGCTTATCAGTTCCTCACAATGTTAAGCAGAATTCTCACATGACGTATGAGTTCCTAGATTTATATTCAAGAGAAATAAAAACATATGACTATATTGAGAGTAGTGGCATTTTATACAATAGTCAGTATAGAATGCCTGAAATTTTCATCAACTCATAAATGAATAAAAAATGTTCATCCATGCCAAATGGATTATTGCACGTGTTTGTTTTGAGAGCCACCTTTTGCAAATACTCTATTGCCAAGTTGGCTTATCTATTTGTTGATTTATGCAAATGCAAAAGGAGGCAGGACTGAGAGAGGCAGGACTGAAAATTCAGAGGGACAGGATTAGTTGATGTATCTCACACCCAGCTCCAGTCCTTAGAATCAGGAGCAAAATTGCTCCAGGAGACCATCTGAGGATGACAGCTCATTCTGACCTGTCATTGCTACTCATTCAACCTTCACAATTACACAAGGTGTTTTTATCCAGTTTTTCATCACTGTGATGAATGCCAGGGGAAACAAATTAAAAAGAGAACTATTTCTTTTGAAAAAAAGGAGTATATTCATAAAATGGAACATTATTCAACCATGAAAAGGAAATGAAAAAAATAGGTGCAGTGGCTCACACCTGCAATCTTAGCTACTAAAGAAGCTGAGGTCCATCAGGGAGAAGCATGACCTGGGGATAGTCTGGGTAAAAAGGTCATGAGACTCAATCTAAAGAGAAAAAGTATGGCATATTAGTGTGTTCCTGCCATCCTAGTGTGACCAGGAGAATCATTCCATGGTTGGCCTGGGGAAAATTAAGACACCATTTCCAAAATTACCAAAACAAAAAGGCTGGGAGTATGGCTCAAATAGTAAGGCACTACCATAAAAAAAGCACTATCAAAACAAAACATTAACATGAAGTTCTGTTATATGCTACAACATAAAGTATGCATGAATGTTTGTATGCATATGCATATATATGTACATATATACATACACATATTTATGCTCTGAAAGAAGCCACATACAAAAGCCACATATTATTCTGAAGCAATGTATATGAAATGTTTAGAATGTGAATTCCATAGAACACATAAAATAAATTAGTGGTTTCCAAGGAAGAAAAGAAAATAGTATGGAGTAAACGCTAAAGAATACAATATACTTTTGTGGGTGATGGCTATACAAACAGTTTGTCAACAAATAGTTATCAGTTATCTGTCATTGATAATACTGTTTACCGTGGTGAGAGTGATGCCTGAACTGGAGTATGGAAGGATGACGGAGAGATTCTTCAGCTGCCTACAGGTCTGAGATACAGTACCTGTGGCTCACAGACACTTCACTTCTCATGCTGGGCAAAGGTAGTCAAAAAGCCCCAGAGCTAAGATATTGTGAAGTGTCAGTGATTTCAGGTAGAAGAGGTGTGACTCCAAAGGTATAGTGACAGTGAGATATTCTCAAAAGAAAATAAAAGGATTCTCAGATTCTGGCCTGGCTATGACCTTGAGGTAAGATCATTCAGTGAAGCTGAGGCATGGGAAACATTGTATTAATGTATAGTTTTTATTGAAAGCACATAGGATCCAGATACTGGTGGATCATGCCTGTATCAGAAGCCTGAGATCTTCAGGGTTATGGTTTGAAGCAAGTCTAGGCAGATTGATGTTAGTGCATGGTGGCAAACAGGGATCCATTTTTAGTTTTCTGCATATCG